AAACTGGTGCGCCTGGGCCCCTGGAGTTGGTCCGTCTACATAAAAAAGGATACGCCGACAGGACGCCGCCGCCGTCGCTGTCGCAGCAGTTCTCATCAATTGCATTTGCACCATGTGCAACCCGACAAAGGGAGGGAGAGGAGCCTCAGCAGGCCTCCGAGAAAAAAATCTCCACTGGCATCGTCAGGAGAATAATCACCACTGTTGCCGATTGCTCGGCCCCTACACCCCCCCCAACCTCCTTAACACCCGCAGGGTGGTCGTATAGGTAGGTCTGTATACATTCGGATGTTTATATCGGAGGTTGGGGGGTGAGATCGAAGTGGAACGGAGGGCCCCCCGACCGGGAAATCGATTTCGGTTTCGTGTTCGTGCGTGCCGTGCGTGCGTGCGAGGCGAAGCTGCGTGGGCGGGCGACAGGAAAGTCCCCTGTGGCTGAGGCGCGGCCGGACCAAATGATTCTCCACCGGGGCGCGGGGCCGCGCGGTGTCCCGCCGGTGTCCCAGTGATGTCCTCTGTGGCTGAGGCGCGGCCGCACCAATTATTCTCCACCGGGGCGCGGGGCCGCGCGGTGTCCCGCCGGTGTCCCGGTGGTGTCCCGTCGGTGTCCCGTCGGTGTCCCGATGATGATGTTGATGATGGTTATGATGATGATGGTGATGATGATGGTGATGATGATGATGATGTTGATGATGGCGATGATGATGATGATGATGATGATGTTGATGATGATGATGATGACGACGTCGATTGTGAGATCGATTGTGATCGGACGTCGCCAGGAGGACGCCGACAGGACGACGCCGCCGTCGCTGTCGCAGCAGTTCTCATCAATTGCATTTGCACCATGTGCAACCCGACAAAGGGAGGGAGAGGAGACTCAGCAGGCCTCCGAGAAAAATCTCCACTGGCATCGTCAGGAGAACAATCACCACTGTTGCCGATTGCTAGGCCCCTCCACCCCCCCCCCCACCTCCTTATCACCCGCAGGGTGGTCGTATAGGTATATATATAATATGTATGTATGTATGTATGTATGTATGTATGTATGTATGTATGTATGTATGTATGTATGTATGTATGTATGTATGTATGTATGTATATATGTGTGTATATGGTGCTCATCATACTAGATGTAGTGCAACGTATGTTATGCAATCGATGTTGTGCAATCGATGCTGTGCGCCCGATGTGGTGGAAACGATGTTGGAGGGTGCGCCGCTGGATCTCCCCAGGGGGGGGTGGGGGTTAGGACCCCCCCCCCCCCCCCCTTCCCCGATCCGTCGTCGGGCCCCCCCCCCCCCCCCCCCTTCCCCGATCCGTCGTCGGGAACCCCCCCCCCTCCCCCTTTCCACGACCCGTCGTCGGGGACCCCCCTCCCCCTCCTTTCAAAAGGGGGGGGGGGTCCGAACCCCCCCCCCCTCCCCCCCTTTCGCCACGCCGCCCCCTGACGCCGGAACCCGACCCCCGCCACCCCTACCCCTAGTCCTCACCCGAACCCTAACCACTAACCCCAGCCCCACAAGGAGTCACGACGGGCCCCCTACCCCCTAACCACCAACCCCAGCCCCCTACTCACTACCCTCTACTCACTACTCGCTATTCGCTACTCACGACTCACTACTCACTATCCACCACTCACTACCCACCACCCACTACTCGCTACTCACTACTCCCTACTCGCTACTCCCTCCTCCCTACTCACTACTCACTCCTCACTACCACTACTCAATACTCACTACTCACTAAGCACTACTCACTACTCCCTATTCACTACTCAATAATCACTACTCATTACACACTACCCACTATCCACTACTCACTACTAACTACTCATTGCCCACAAATCACTATTCACTACCCACTACTCGCTACTCCCTACGGCCTACACACTACTGGTACTCAGTACTCGCTACTCGCTACTCCCATACTCGCTACTCAAAACTCACTACTTTCTCCCCGCTACTCACTATTCACTACTCATTACTTACTACTCCCTAATCACTAGTCACTACATAGTCTCTAGTCAATGATCACAACACACTAGTCACTAGTCACGAGTCACTACTCACTACCCACTACTCACCAATCGCTACTCGTTACCCACTATTCGCTACCCACTACTTACTACTCACTGCTCACTACTCCCTACTCCCAACTCAGCACTCACTACTCACTACTCACTACTCGCTACCCCCTACTGGTTACTCACTAATCACTACCCACTACTCACTACTGACTACACTCTACTCACTACTCACTACTCACTACTCGCTACTCACTGCTCACTACCCACTGCCACCACTCACTACTTTCTGTTCACTATTCATCACTACTCACTACTCACTACTCACTACGCACTACGTACTATTCGGTACTCACTACTCACTACTCACTATTCACTACTCACTATTCACTACTTGCTACTCACTACTCACTACTCACTACTCACTACTCACTACTCACTACTCACTACTCACTACGCACGACGCACCACCCACAACTCACTACTCACTAATCACTACTCGCCACCCATTACTCACTACCCACTACTCACTACCCAGTACTCTTTACTCCCTACTCCCTACTCAGTACTCACTACTCGCTACTCGCTACTCACTACTCACAACTCACTACTCGCCACTAACTACTCACATATCAGTACACACGAATTACACACTGTTCACTACTCACTACTCCCCACTCCCTACCCCCTACTCCCTACTCGCCATTCACTACCCACTACTCATTCACACTACACACTACTACTCACTACCCAATACTCACTACTCACCACGCACTAACTCACTACTCACTACTCACCACTCCCTACTCCCAACTCCGTACTCCCTACACGAAGGGGAGGGGGGTCCGAACCCCCCCTCCCTTTCCAGCGCCAAGGGGGGGAGGGGGGGGGTCTCCGGACCCCCCCCCCTTCAAGGGAGGGAAGGGGGGGGGGTTCGGGAACCCCTCCCCCTCTTTAAGGGGGTGAGGGGGGGGGAGGTCCACCCCCCCCCTTGAAGGAGGGAGGGGGGGGGGGGTTCTGGACCCCCCCCCCTTTAGTGTATTCAGGGAGATCCACTGGCGCACTTTCGCAATGTTGTGCCAGATAAACGGTGCGGTGCTAAATCGGCGAAAGGCCCCAAGCAGCGAACCCTCACGATTATGGCGGGGCGGGCCATCGGGCACCTGCGCGATTGGGTGTCGACGCGTCCCCCCTGAATCTGTCAAACAGTTGACCGGTCTCGGCTTTCGGGTCACAACTCGGGTCTCTGGCAATCGTTCGGGACCATTCAGGCATCCCCGGAGCGCCCTCGGCAAGGCGCAACTGCTGGAGCGCATCCCGAGGCTGGAAACGTCCAGGAACCGACGACAATGTCCGAACACCTCGAACCTCGAACCTGCTGGCCCCATGGGCCTATCCTGGGGGGGGCCTTACACAAGGGGGACAAAAGGTACCGATACCGCTGCTCCTCAGACCTCTACTGGGGTGCGTGCCGACCAGGATTTCGAAGTGAAGCCGTGGCGACGACGCAAGGGTGGCGGTATCGACATCTGTTCCTTCTCTGATATCCGCCCCAAACGTTGCGTCTCTTCCTCCTCCTCCTCCACCTCCTTCCTCCCCCATCCGCACTCACTCCTGGACGGGGGTCGCAGGCCCAGACTCCCGACGACGTGGTTTGTTTCACGTGGACCCCCAGAGGTCTCGACCCATTCCCCGGCACACGCTTTCCATCGAGTCGTTAAGTGACTGCCCTGGGGCCCAGCGAAGCCCTCCAGAGGCAACACATTGCAAAAAAACAAGCGTCGTTGTTTCATTCACGACTCAACCATGACTGCTTGAATCACCGCTGGGGTTGCTGAGGGAATTGGAGGTTCGTCAGTGAATGCCCATTGAATTATATACGGCCAAACGTTGAGTATAAGTGGGTTGCATGTGCCCTAGCGGCTTAAAGGGGTTTGGTAATTCTGCTGAGTGGGATCCGCCCACTTCGCCCAGATCTTTGCCCCCCTTGAGTCGCTTACAAGGGCACCTGCAGCCCATTCATAAGCTAGGTACGGCCAGCTGTGCCCACATTCGCACCCACGTAGACTGAGGCCTCCTGGATGGGATCCGGGTAGATGGAGTCGGAGAATCCCGACGCATCGCCGTCAGCGATGCATCGGGAATGCTGGCGAGGAGAAGACCGGGCTCCACATCGAGCAACATCGCGGATCGGCGATGCGGCGCGATCCTCCGACCCCATCGGCTCGGACCCCTTCTGGGATTGGAGACGGCCGGGGGGCCTGAAGTTGTCGGGACCCCAGAAAATCAGTCAGGAAGCAACGATGAAGCCAAATCCACTCAACATCGGTCCAAAAATCCCTCCTGAACCCCTCCCAAGGTCCATCTGGTGAAATTTTCCACTGGATCCGTTATTCACAATCCTGGAGAGCAGAAAGGGACCCCGCAGACAGCAAACGGCAGAAAACCTTCCCGAACCCAGCGCAACGGACCTCGCCCCCCCTCCCTGCTCGCCGGAATCCATGCTGGGCCAATTAGCAACTTTAGCGGCGATCCAGGCGGGCTCCTTGGCGGCGAGCCAGGGGGAAGTGAGAAGGTGCGGATCTCCCCAGAAGGCTCGAAAGTCCCCTGGCCTTCTGAGACGTCTTCTGAGCCTTCCCAGGAAACACTGAAGACTTCTCTGACTACATTCCAGACCACCACAACAACCCAACCCGAAAACCCAAGCTTCGGGATGGGGGGGGGGTCGCACGGGTTTCATATGCATCTTGGTCCAATGTTCCCCGGCGCCCCCCCCCTGGGAATGGAGGGCAGATGGGTGCCTTCGGGTTGGGTTGGGGTGGCTTGGTGGGTGGCGACTCTCCCGCACCCCCAGGCGTCGTGCCGCCGAGCTCCGTCACACGCCTGGCGCCTGCAGGTCCTCCTCCTCCTCCTCCTCCTCCACCGCCTCCTCCTCCGGGGGGGGGGCAAGGCCAGGAGCGCGGGGCCCCGCGGCCTCGGCGAGCAGGACCTCCACCAGAGCGGGGTCGTCGCCGCTCGGGTTCATGGCCGCGGCGACGCCCTGGAGGAACTCACGGGCCTTGCCCCGGGCGAGGGGGGAGGGGCTGAGAGGAGTGCGGTGGGGGCCTTGGCTCAGGAGCAATTGAATGGGGAGCCCAGGGTCTAGAGGCCAAAGGAACTCCAATCGCGGACTGGCCATGGATAGCATCACCGCTCTCATTAGCCAGGGAAGCCCCCAGAGTCCGCAGCCTCCTGAGCGCGTTCCGTAACGAAGGGCATCCGAACCCTACCCCTGAAAACCTTCGATTCTCCTGAATCGATGGGAGGCGAGGGTAGGGTTCGGACTTCACCACGTGCTCGAAGAGTTCCGAACCCTACCCCCGCTGCCCATCGAGCTGTCTGAATCGTGGATCGGCGAGGGTGGGGTTCGGGTTTCGCCGCCGACCCAGGGGAAGGGGCGAATATATGATCAAACACACTGGGGAAATTTCATGGTTTCCTCCATCTTCAAGATCGACGGTTTCTTTCCGTTGTGGGCGCCGTTTCTATCACGGTTTCGGGTCCGGGATCGGCCCGTGGCACACCTGCCCGTTCGAGTTAGGCACCACAATTTAGAATATGTGTTATTAAAGCCCAGAAGCGACAAGAGGAAAGCGGGGGGTGGCGGGGAACAACAGCAACAAGACAAGCACGCCCCAAGCGTTTGAAACACAACTAAGGGCCTGATCACTGGATAATGGACTTGTTCAGAGGCGACCGACGAGATCAGTAGCCAAATATTCGTTGCTATAAATTATGGTATCGGTCGCGACCCATGTACCTCCAAATCGGTTGCGACTGGTCGCGGCCGATGCTTGAATCGGTGGCGATCGGTCGCGACCGATTTGGAGTGCAGCGCCGATCGGTCGCTACCGATCGCGACACGCAAACATACAGTATTCAATCAATGATCTGGGGGGAGGCGGGTACGACGAGGACAAACCCTGAGACACCAAGCGTTTTCACCTGGTTTCTGGCCCCGGGACCCTCGCGGATCGATCAGGCTCGCACCATGCCGCAGGCAGACGGGGTCTGGGGCTCGAGCTGCGATGATTCGCGATGTTGTCTGCCACCGTACCGCTGGGCACGGAGTAGGCGTGTCCTCAGGTCCTCTGCCCAATCCCCTGAGCCTCAGTCCTCAGTTCATGGACGGGAGCCCAGACCGCGCAACGCTGGGCAGCGAATGGCCGGCTACCAAACATTTGATAGTGCACGGTCTTCGCCTTCTCGCGCTCATGCGAATGGTGGCAATCGAATCGGGGGGCACCTCGGGCAACGACGCACCGCGCCCCCCCACCGACCGCATCCAGCCTCGGTGGGCCCCAATGCGAGAGGGGCGCGACAAGTTTAGATACGCCAAGCAGAACAATAAACTTTATCACACATCCATATAACATACTTTCTTGCAGGGAGTCTCGAGCGAAAGCGGCCCCAAGAGTGTATCTAAACAGCGATGCAGTTAACATGAAGCCAAAGATTGGCGTGGCTGCGAGGGCGAGGCCGCAAGGCTCTTCCCCTCGCCCCCAGAGCACCGCTGGGCCAGTGCGATCGACGCCCCCGGCGCCCTGCGAGTCTGCTCGCCGCATGCCGTTCGCGCAGGAGGCACGCGGCGCGCGGCCTGCGGCGCCGCTCGAGGTTCTTCCATTAGCGCAGGCACCGGCGGCCAGGCCCGTGGTCCATGACTGGGCAAAGGCTGAAGCCCGAAAACCGTGTTTACTGCGTTTTGGGGGGTCGGAGCCCCGATACTCACCTTTGCCCTTCTCTGCTCCGCCGCCTGCAGCACATGCTTCTGGGCAAAGGGGGTCTGTCGTAACCGGGTCACAAGACAAAAACACTTGCTCATCCTTCGGCGCATGGCGCGTGGCAGCCACGTGCTGATATTGCACGACGTGTGCGTTCCGCACGAAGGATTGCACGAACTGTGGCGCACAGTTGTGAGCCCCCCATGTGCAAAGGACCCCTTTCTGGGGAAAACCGAAAGGCACCCGTTCTGACCAGGGTTCCGAGGCGAATCCAGCGGTGGCCTCCCAGAGGAGCCCCAAAAAAGGGGCAACACAAGGGAAAGGTAGCACTACGGGTACCTCCTCCTCCTCCTCTGACCATCGCCCGAATCCGAGGGAGGCACCCCCGCCTCTGCAGGCTCGAGCTTGCCGTTCCCGTCCAGGTCGTGGCCGACGAACATGGCCCGGAAGCTCTCCTGCCGCCAGGCGCCGGGGCGTGGGCGCCACGGGCCTCTGAGCCTTGACCTCTCCCGCCCCACGCTGCCTCCACCAGAAAAGGCTACCCGTCGGTCGGAAGAAACGGGGAGAAGCATCAAGAGAAAACCTCTCAGAGGCTGGAGGCCTTCTGAGACGCCCCGCCACCTTCGCCACCTCCTGAGATGGCCTTCTCCACTTGGAAAGTAGGGAGGCGTTGACGACGACGAAGACGACGACGACGACGATGACGACGACGACGGCTGCCTCAGAAGGTTTACAAAGTTTTTTGGAGGCGTCAGGAGATCTCCAGAAGCCTCTTGAAGCGTCTGCAGGCCCTGCGAGGTCCTCAGACACGACGACGACGACGATGACGACACTCACGATAACGACGACGACGACGATGACGTGGACGAGGACGGGTATGGGTACAAGGACGACGATGACGATGACGGTGACGGTGACGGAGACGGTGACGACGACGACGACGACGACGACGACCACGACGACGACGACGACGGCGACGGCGACACAGACGACGACAACGACGACGACGACTATGGTGACGACGACGACGACGACGACGACGACGACGACGACAAGGACAACGACGACGACGACGACGACAACGACGACGACGACAGCCGCCTTTGGCGGCGTCTGGATGCTCTCCAGTGCCTGTCAGCACCGCTTGGCGGGGGCCCGGCCTCACATCTACAGACACGGCCCGCGCCTTCTAAGAAGCAGGGGCGCCTTTAAGAAGCCTTCCCGCCTCCCCCTGCCACCATCTGCACGTGGCCGAAACACACAATATGCCCGTGAGCACGGCGTCAAAGCTGTGGGGGAGCCCGGGAACTCCGCCCTGTAAGTTCGTTACCGTTACGGGCGGGGTGGGGATGGCGGCCCCCCATCGTAACGGACGCTACGGGCTCAACGACTGAAAACAAGTCTCCAGAAGAGGCTAAGCCCAGGAGGCGTAAGTACGTATGGAGACTCGGAGACCGAGCACATCGTATGGATCTACTCCGTCTGGACTTAGCATCCTCCGATTCCAGAATCAACCAGCATCGATCAGGATATCGGATCGAATCGAGATGTGCGTCGGATCGGGCCGCATCGGCACGGGGTCGGCATTGAACCGCGTCGGCAGCACCACAGTACGCAACGACAAGATGCAACCATCGAGCCGCATCGAACCGTCGGAAGATCGGAGCCGAATCGGATCGACAGGGCCGGAACCGACATCGAATCGGATCGATCGGTTCAGACTGGACTTATGTCGGGCGTGGCCCCCTACAGGCGGAGTGCGAACGAAAAATCAAAAATACCCCAAACGTGCTCAGCAAATACATAAAAATGCTCAAACAATCGTCCCCTGAATAGTCTTTTGCTACTTTCGACTGGTCCTCCTGTTGAGGGACAAGCCCGACTGAAGACTGGACTCCTGGCATCTGGGCCGCCGCTCCCTCCCGTGGGGCCCGGGCCGCCTGCGTCGCGATGTCGCTCGTTCGGGGCGTCCAGGGAAGGAGTGCCGATGCTGCTCGTTCCCCTGGCCTCGTCTTCGCCCCCTCGGGGGCCTCATGCGAGGCCCTCGTCGCCACGGCTGGGTTCGCCTCGAACTCCTGGTCAGAACGAACACCCGGATTGGGGTCCAGGGAGTAGTAGCCTCAGGTCGGGCATGTCCCCCTACGGGCGGATATTGGACGAGAACTTAAAAATAGTCAAAAACATATTTAAAAAGAATCGAAAGTAATCAAAAAATCGTCTCCAGACAATGTTTTGACTGTTTTTGACTATTCCTCCTGTAAAGGGACAGGCCCCACTTAATGCTGGCGTTGACCTTCGCGGCCCGCAGAGACACGGGAGGCTTTCTATATTTGCAGTCCAGCAAGATTGCCTGCAGGGCATCCCCATGCCCCCCCCCTCCGCCGCCTTTTCAATCAGAGCCGGGCCGAAAAGGAGTGCGCAAGTGCATCCCGACCTGCGCGGAGTCCAGCCAGACTTCCGTTCGGGCATCGCCCCGGCCCCCCCCACCCGTCCATACCAGCAAACCTGCCAGCATCTGTCGGAAGCCGGGCAAGGGCTGCTAAATCCGTGGCTGCTAAAATTGACCTCCGGGAAATTGTCTTCGTCCTTCCGGGAAGAAGCCCGTTGACTGTGTCGCGTGCCGCGCCTCATTCCGGGAAATTGTTTTTTCCTTCTGGGAGGGCCGTTTTAGCAGCCACGGTTTTAGCAGCCCTCGCCCACTGCTTGAATCTGATCGAGAACTGCCTCCGGTCCTTTCGAGGCACCAGCGGCAGCCCTGGCCCTGGGCCGCACCGTCTCCCCACCGCTGGGCACGGCGAGGCATCTCGGGGGGGAGGGGTCCTCGAGCATGTCCTTGAAGAGCAGCAGCGCGCCTGTCGGCGCGGGGCTCTCTGGGCTGAGCAGAATCAAGACGGCCCACATCATCGGACACCAATTGTTTCGGTCGCGATCGGTAGAGACAGATCCACATCGGCCGCGACGGGTCGCGACCGATTTCGAAACAAATCGGTCGCGACCGAACTCGACAGTCGCATCCGCGAAATTATGAAAGGCAATGATCTACGGGAGGCGTAGGTCTTCCTGGCCTGGGGGGCACTGTCTCGGGGTCCGAGGCTGTTGTGGAACTCAGGGCCTACTGCGAGGTGCCCATGAAAAACCAGGATGTTTGCGCGCCCGAGAGAACAGCAGCCGTGGGCCGAAATGTTCTACATGTTTAGGGTTCTCCAGGTGGAACCTCCAAAGTCCTTGCTTGCAATGTCCTGGTTTGGGGCGCCAGAAGGGCCACTAAGCATCAAAGGCCAGCATGGGAAGGAGGCCCCCTGAGGCCCACCACGGAAAAGCTACGAGGTCGGAGGAAAGCGTCGCGTAAATGCAGATGAAGGGCCGAGCGTATGATGCCATGAACCACCGCCTGACAGCTGGGCATCGCGGCGTGCACAGCGAAGGGCGCTTCCACCGATTAGCACCCGGGGCCCTGACGGATCTATCTGGCCCGAGAACTGCCGCGCACAGATTGAGCGGGGAGGTCTAGAGGAACAACAGACGACATAAACACAACTTCTCGGAGGTCCGCGCGGACCATCGAGAATTCCTGGTTATGCAATTGTATCGTCTTCGAAGCTCAGCATTCTATTACGGCATCGTGGTTTGTCACGTTTGTCGGACGTCTGGACATACACCAAACTAGGGGCACGGGTTCACAGTACGAGCGCAAGAGTCTTGGACGTCCATATTGCAACAATTGTAGCCGCGGCAGGGCCTCAGCACAGGGCCAACACAAGGATGACGGCGCACCAGCCCCAGGATACCCTTCTGAGCCCATTCGGCGATTCAGCAGGTTTGAGCGCCGAACGGACCGAGCATCAAGCCCATCTGGTAGCCGAATGGGCTCAGGCGCCGAATGTGCCCAGAGGGAAACCCTGAAGCAGAAGTACGGACTGGTAAGACGCCGTTGCAGGACCAGTCCCCTTTGTCTCCATCCTGATCGTCGGGCTGATCACGCGAACTTCTGCTCCGTTACCCGCCTGATCGGTCCCCTCGTCCTGCACCGTCTGATCCTGGCAATCACCATTATGTTCAACCTCATCTGCCGCAATGCCCGCCTGCGGCGAACTCGCTGAAGGACAGAGACCCGTCGTTGTTGCAGTCGAGCGCCTGCGCAAAGCAAAGGCATGCTGACAAAAGCATTCATGTTGACCGAACACCACGAAAAATCATTGCGCTCACCCGCCAGGCGTAAGTGGGAGCAGGGCGAATTAACACGACTGAAGCTCAAAATCGGCCCCAGACCCCTCCCGGGTTCCGAACGCACCTGTTACCCGAGCTGCGTCCAGCCTCGGTGACGAGGGGTCCCCTTGAGGCCACACGCCGTTGACTCAACTCGCCATCTCCTGACCAAGACATCGATCAAGCATGGCATCGACGCTGGTTCCTCGCCGCCAGGCCTGTCACCACAAGCCGGCGCAGCGGCCACGCCGCGCCTCATGCGATTCGGAAGACCACTGTTGTTCTGTTAGGGAGCAAAGAATCCACCCCATAAGAAGCACCCCGACAAACGAAGCCGTTTAGCAAACGCACCCAAGGAAGGAATCGAACAGGGCAGGGGCTGTTTAGTAAACGCCCAGGACCTTTTAGTATAAACGCCAATTGCTGGGGTCGGGGTGGCTGTTCTTCCCTCGATCTTGGGCACCCTCCAGACTCTTCGTCCCCCTCCTCCGCGTCTTCCTCATCCAGCCTCCCCTCCTCCATAAAGACCTCCTCGTGTGCCTCCACCTTCTGTGCTCCGCACCTCCCGCCTATCCTCATCGGCCTCGCCCTCCCTGGACGAAAAATCCTCCTCCTCCTCCTCCTTTTCCTCCTCCTCCGCGCATCCTATGCTGCGGTTTCGGGGGGCTTCGCCTGTCCCTTCGCGCCGCCATTTGCGTCGAAGTCGTGTCGAACCCGCGTCGAACGCGTGAAACCCGCGTCGACTCCTCGTCGGACGCAAGAAAACGACAGCACCTCTCCACAACACACCCTCCTGTGCCCCCGGACGGGGCGCAGCCTCGAACGTCCTGTGGATCAGGTCCTTGTCCTCGACGCCCATCTTCAGGAACATCTCCTGGTCTGATGGGCCTGTTTTCCACCACCACTATCATAAGTTGGAGGGGGGAATGAGGTGGAGGACGAGGAGGAGGACGAGGAGGACGAGGAGGAGGAGGAGGAGGAGGAGGAGCACCCTCTCCCCCTCCAACTTATGGCGGTAATGGTGGAAAACATGCCCATCATGGTCTCCTCCGCCTGGTCCTCCTCCAGACCAAGCATCGCTCCATCCGCCCTCGACGTCCCCTCTGATCGACCCTACGAATTCCGCCCTGGGACAGAAATCCGCCGATCCGGCGCGTGAGTTTCTGAGAGCGTGGGCTTGAGCTCGCTCAAGCTTCGCTCTGCCGAGGGGGGGGGGACCTCATTTCCTACCTATTTCCAACCTGTTTCCGACCTAATTCAGTGCTTCGCCCCACCCCCCCTCCAGAGCGGACCCCCCCCCCCTGCAGATCCCCCCACCCTCCTGCAGCCCCAGAGCGGACCCCCCCCTCAGAGCGGACCCCCCGGAGTCTGACCTTCCAAGATCCCCTTCGCCGAGATGACATCCCCGAACCCCTGTGAATCCTCGCCTGTCTGTCCACATAGCTCAGAGGGTTTATTAGGTCTAATATGACCTGGTACAGTGAACTTCCGCCTCGTCATTGAGGCGTCGCGTGTTGCATCATCTGCTGTCGCAGTCCAGGGTGACGAAAGTCACTCACAATGTCCAGGTCAGTGTCCTCGATCTCCATGTAGTCAGGGAAGAGCTGCCACGCATCGTCTGCATCCACTGCAAAGCCCGTCTCAAGCGTGTCGAAACCCTTTTGTTTCCGATGCTTCTCTGAGATGAAATTGGAATCGTAGATCAGCTTCCAGGCACCTCGTTGCTGCCAGAGGTTGTAGCTCGCCCGGGCCTCCTCCGCGTTCTTCGTCATGCAGTCGCTGAGCTGGGCGCCACTATGACACCAGCGTAGTGATGTCGCCGTAGCTGCCATACCTCTCTTCAGTGCCAGGGCCTCTAGCGCGCTCCTCTTGTCCTTCATGCCCAGCGCGCTGCTCTCAGACCTCCAGGCGATCAAAGTCACTCACAATGTCCAGGTCAGTGTCCTCGATCTCCATGTAGTCAGGGAAGAGCTGCCACGCATCGTCTGCATCCACTGCAAAGCCCGTCTCAAGCGTGTCGAAACCCTTTTGTTTCCGATGCTTCTCTGAGATGAAATTGGAATCGTAGATCAGCTTCCAGGCACCTCGTTGCTGCCAGAGGTTGTAGCTCGCCCGGGCCTCCTCCGCGTTCTTCGTCATGCAGTCGCTGAGCTGGGCGCCACTATGACACCAGCGTAGTGATGTCGCCGTAGCTGCCATACCTCTCTTCAGTGCCAGGGCCTCTAGCGCGCTCCTCTTGTCCTTCATGCCCAGCGCGCTGCTCTCAGACCTGTCCAGCGCATCAAACACTCCACGGCAATCTAGTACCAGTGCTCCTGGAATGCGAGCACATCCTTGCGCCCACTGCCTCAGAGGAATTGGACCAATGATGATCTCGCTTAGCAATAGGCGGCAGAACTCCAGCTCTTCTTGGGCTTCGCTGGCTGCTTGAACTTCCGCTGCGCTTGAACTTCGGCATACCCTGGGAAGATGCCCATGAGACCAGAGAAATCGGTGCCTCCTTATGCTGCAGCAGCGCCTGGTCCGTCATAAAGATCAGAAAGCCTCCTTGCGAGGATCCATCTCTGCGTACATTCCACGCTGCGTCCGAATGCCCCACCAGACACGGATAAATGTGCTTCTCCATGATCAGCTCCTTGACCGCTTCCACTCGTGCTCTCCTGACCAGCTTGTTCGCCTGCATCAGGGTGTTGATCGTCGCCGTGTTCGTGTAGGCTAGTAGCAATGACAGCTCGGCGCTGATGAGTGGAACACCTTGAGTGGATAGCCACATTAGTTGTCCAAGAACTGCTCGTAGATGAGAAGCCTCTCCCGGTGTCACTCCAGCTTCTGGATCCTTCCGACGTTGAGTGGGTATGTCGATCTCCTTCAACTCCTGCGCGTAGTCGACCATGTTCAGATGGATGCGACCCCAGCTCTTCGTTCGACCATTGCATTCTTGCCGAATCCGAGTCCCACACTGAACAAAGTCTTGCGTCTCCCAGCTGCCCCACTCATGGGCGCCATGTAGTTCTTGAAGTGCGTCTATTGCAGCATGAGAGGCATTGTTGATCGCAATCATGAAATCGTCCACGTGTGCGACTGCAATGCCGACGAGACGGCCTTCGGAATCTCTTAAGCACCAGAGGCACGGCTCTGTCACTGACTCGACCCAACCGAGCTTCTCCATGTCCTTGCGCACCCTGGTCCACCACCTTCTCGGAGCGTTTACCAAGCCATAGACGGCCTTCTTCAGCTTGATGCACTGATGATGTTCAAGTCGCAAGGCTTCTCGAAGTTCCTTGACGGGTTCCGCTAGAACGTTCCGATCTTCTTCTCCTAGATCTCCTTGAAGAAAGGCGGCCTTCACATCGCCCTTGAACACCTGGAATCCCATCGACTCTGACACTCCCAAGAACATCTGTCGTGCTCTACGGCTGCATGTAGGTGATGCCGTCTTGATCTGCCCCAAGCTCGGATCAGTCTAGACAAGGACCACCAGGCGTGCCTTGAGGTCGCCCGTCTCCTTCTTGGTGATGACCCAGCGCATTTTCATTAACGCTCCGGGATGTACACCAGCGCGACTGGCCGCCTCACATACGCGATACTTCAGGAACGACTTGATCTCGTTCTCCTTGGCGAACGGTAACTGCTTCTTCTCCTCCGGTGTGAGATCCTTCAGCTTGACCTCAACCTTGTTCTGCTTCACCAAGGCTGCCAGCATTCTCTCTGGATTCTTCTCCAGCTGTCCTAGGTCCTTCTCGTCTGTCGTGAAGCCCACCAGTACTGCGAGCCCTGTTTTGTCCTCCGTAGAGTATCCGACGAGGTCATCCTGCTTCGCCTTCTGCGAATACTCCCAGGGTGACCTCCACTCCAGAGAGACTTCTTCTTCAGGATCTGTGCGTCCCAGATCGGCCCTGTAGACGTCAGGCGCCTTCACCCTCAGCGTTTCCATGTAGGTCACGAAATCGGCGCGATGTCTTCATGTCTCTGTCATCAGGAGGTTCAACACTCGCTTCCCGCTTGTTGATATCCTCTGGAGGTGGCTCGCTGTCCCAGGGAACTTCGGTTTGAGGTCTGTCGGCAGGTCGGTCAGGTCCTCCTCCTGGTTCGGCGGGAACTTCTGCTGGTTCTCCTCGTAGATCTTCTTCTTCGTGATCCTATCCATGTTCGTCGCCTGCCTCAGAGAAGAGGTGATCTCCGTGGTCACGAGGTGGTTCCCGGTATTGATCTCCATCCGGCCCATCTTCACCTTCGGGAATGTCATGCCATTCATCTGGTCCTGGTTGGTCGGCTAGGTCATCGAACGAGCCCTTCGTAAGGTCACGCACTAGCTTCTGGAACTGGCCTGAGCTGCCGGCCGAAATACTCTCCAGGGTCTGCTCTGCCCTCGCGACGGTGCGCAGGTGTGCTGCTGCTGCTCGTACCAGTCGATCGCCATCCACAAGCCAGACAACTCCGCGACGTTCTGCTACCCCGTTCTTGACCTCGCGCTCTTGCATCAGCACCGTAGCTGGACCATGGAAGCGCCCAGACATTCCTTGCTGCGCTCCTCCAGTAGTGTGCCTTTTCGCCAGGCTCCCAGATCTTGAACGGTCGCGCGTTGGCTAGCAGCGCTCTCTTCGTCGTCTCGGACAGGTAGTGTTCTACACAGGCTTTGTACGCAGTCCGTTTGTTCAGCACGAGCTTCTGAAATTGATCCTCCTTCACCTCTGCGCTGAGAGTGGAGGGATTCTCCTCATCTTGTAGACCATGTCCAGCCGGGGTGCGACCCATGAGGAGCATAAGTGGACTGTAGCCGTTGTGCCTCATCAGGTCGTTGTTAGCGGCGCACGCCCACGTGAAGATCTCCTGCGGCTCGATGTCGCCCGGAACTTCCCAGGCCATCCGAGTCGCAATCTCCTTGATCGTCTCTATGCACCTCTCGACCACGCCCATGCGCCAGTGAGCTTCTCCAGGTTCTGGTCGCCATTCGATTCCATGACCTGATAGCCACGCACGATGTTCCGCTTGTCGGAAGCGACCTTCAGGATCCGATCTCAGAACTTCTGGTTTGCCGTAGTGCTGGATCCAGCTCTTCAAGAACGTCTCCTTCATCTCCTTAGCTGTTGTGTTGCCGCAGTGATTATCCATATCCTCCTTGTTGAGTAGTACGTGGCACGCAGTGAAGCGACTTCCGTAGTCTGCACACAGGGTGCCTCTTATATGATACGCCCTCCGAGGATGTGTCAAATAGAAGTTGTCGCATCCTAGCTCTTTCCCGGGCGTCGGAACTGAAGGCTCTGAGCTCGCGATTGGACGAAGTTGGAAACGTTGAGCGGCCTTGCACGATGGGCATTCGTAGTGCTTGCATAGATCGACCAGCTTATTGTCGGCCTGTCGAGTCTTGAGAGCGGCCTCAACTGTCGTCAAGCTGCAGCGTCCGAAATTGCGGTGCAGGTGCGCGATGATGGCCTCCATGTCCTTGAGCTCCTTCTTCGGAAGAGGTCTTGGGAAGAGGTAGACGTAGGTCTTGGGAAGAGGTAGACGTAGGTTGCCCAGCCAGCGTTGATCTTCAGGTAGTCCGTCACCCACTGCTGGTTCCAGAGGTCCAGGTTCTCCTTCCCCTTCTGGGGTTGCTGCGGCTGGTTCGAGAGTAGGTCGTTTGGGTTGTCCTTGCTGCCCGTCATCTTCAGGAGACCGTTTACCCCGGATCCAACGTCGTAGATGCTCACGAACTGTAAAGGCCCCAACGTCTTTCGCATTGACTTCCTTGACTAAATACGAGAGGGCTTCGTCGGACGTTGTCTTCTTCATGAAGTGCTTCGCTATCTTCTTGCACATATTCACGGGATAGTTCGCCGTTAGCGCCACACGAGTCCCTCCTTCGATCGGTAGATGAACATGCAAGTCTTG